TTCACTTTTACTTTTCACAAGACAAAAGAAACATGTCAGATATAGATATCTAACTTTCTAAGTTATTGCTCTGTGTTTGCTCTGGGAATGAGATAATCACAGAATTAGGTAATCTCCAGCTTTCTGGAATGCTTGTACAGTTAACCCTTGAATAATGCAAGCATTAGGGACACTGACCACCTATGCGGTCAGAAATCCGTATCTAATTTTAAATCGGCCCTCCACGTATACGGATTCCCAATTGCAGATCAGGAATATAATTTGTTTCTGTTTAGGTAATTCATAAAAACATAAGACGTAGGAAACTTGCTTGTAAATCACATAAGGCTCGTCACGATGCGGAGATCTTCCTAATGTTATTTATCTGCATGATAAATGTTTGTTGTGGAGTTCTCTGTTATTTGTTGGTAGTGTCTAGAAAGGTAGTGTCTAAGGTTCCTTGGGGGTTTTTTTTAAACCCAGAAATAGTCCTAATTTAAAATTTCCTGGGCATTAAACTTTGAAGATGAGTCATAAGTATGTAGTGATCGGGTTGTAAGATCATGTTGTTTTATATTGGAAAAGGATCTTACTTTTTTATCTTTTGCGGATGTATAATAATTCGCCTCTGGCCACAGAGGGACCAGGTTGGGAGTCGTGCCCAGTCTTCCTAAATCCCAATCCAATACTTTATCTGCTATGTCACATTCCACATATTTATCCCTGCTTTGTCCTTTTTCATGCCCTTGTCTTTTTACTTTTTCACCCTTAACAATTGAAAAGGATGGAACATAAACATTAAAAACATAAAAAGTCCTATGGGACATGCTCAGAAATCAAGAACAGTCTGAGTCTTAGTTATATTCACTAGGATCCTGGAATTGATTGCTTCAGCGAGTTACTGAGGAGATAGACTCCTTTTTACTCTAGGCTACATGTCTGTGTGTCTTTAATATGGTCCCAGTCTCTTTAAGTAAAAATCATACTTTTTTGTTTCCTTTATATTACAATTAGCTACTATTATATAAGACCAAAAAAGAGTGTAAATGAGTACTCTCTGTAAGGGAATTAACTTATTAATATGACCAGTCATAGTTGGTTTGACCAAGTTTTTATAACTCATCTTTTGATTTGAATTAAAATATCATCACTCCATTACACATTCAATAGAGACAGCTGAAAAGTCCAATTTCTCTGCAGGGCCTGCAATGAAGGATTTGCAGAATCCTGCAGGGAATCAAGGAACTCTTCATTACAGTTCATGGATTTGTAGGATTACTCTGCACTTTTCTGCTTTCTTCATTGAGAGCGGTCCCAAAGTGTATCCTTGACTGTCCTGCAGGTAACTTCTTTCCCACTGGAAAAGTTACTATGTAAAAATATTTTAATTAAAATGACCTGGCGGTTGTGAAGGCCAGCCTTTGTGCTCCTTTCTATTATGAAATGGAAGGTAGGCTCGACTGGGAAGCATTTTCTCTGAACTAGTTCTGATCAACTTGCCCAGGGCTCTTCCTGCATGGCTGGGTTTCAGGAGCCTTATATTGTTGTGTTTTAATATGCACTGTGGGCACAATTCATATCTGTTAATTTCTCATTTTTTAATGGAAGGAAATACCTTCCTGTACATTTTAGACAGATATTACCTTCAGATATATGCTAACATCCTAATTTGCTGAAGTTGAGAGCAACAATCTTCTGTCTAACGGAGACATGGGTAAATATGTAAGTTATTCTTGAGTTTAGAATGCAGTTTTTTGAAGACATGGAGCTATAAAAAACATGCATGTGAAATGCATATTTGTACTCTGAATAAAATATGTCTCATGCTTAGAGTAGGAGCTAAGAATGCCAAAGATGCATGTTTGATCTTTATTAATTTAATGTGAAGGCTGTGCAGTTCTGAGTTAAACTTGTTTAAGTGAAACTTGTTTCATCAACTCATTAGGGCTTCTTTTTCCTACCACACTGGCCAGTCCCTTACCCGCTTTTCCCCAGGCCCTGATTCCGTGTTTCATTATCACGTTGAACCAGTAGCTGCCTCCACAGTGCTGCCGGAGGGATCCTCCTAAAATGCTGATCCATCCTATGAATATTCTAATGGAGCTAAGCAAGCATTTAAAGGGGCCTTGTTAATTAATTACTGCAGGGCTGAGAGGGGGAAAGTGTTTGTCACCTGTACACCACATCTGGGAGAAGTACTTCTTTACAGCCTATCCAATATTAGATAAGTTTTAGAGGGCTTAATACAGATTGTCTTTAAGGCTCTTCTTCAATCCTTCCATTTGGTGTAGCACCTTCTGGCTCTGCCTTTCTCTCGCGCAGGCTTCATCTCTTGCTGCACCTCTACACCCCTTCCCTCCAGCCATGGCACACCGGATGTGGTTTCTGGGAATAAGAATGTGCTCTTGTACACTTTCCTCCTAAGTATATGTGTGCCCCTTGCCTTCCTTCAGCCACCCCACATTCTTGTTTGAGAGTCAGAAGCCAAGCTCTAATCCCCATCCCGGAGCCAAACAGAGGCCTCTCCTTTGTGCTTTCCTTTGTTCCAGCTCCTGAGGACACAGGAAGAGATTATAATTCATATCTGTGTTTCCAGCTCCTTTCACTTAGTCTGACACATAGAAGGCACTCAGATATTTTTTGAATGAATAAATGAATAGGCTAATAACGCATGAAGTGTGTTCCTTCCCTGGTGTCGTTTCCATTGTACAATAGAGATGCTTTCAAGTTGTTTGTAGAGAGCGATTGGAGGAAGAAGAGACACAGTGAGGGAAAAACTTATCTTCCAAAATAAGTATTTGCTTGTATTTTCCATGAGCGCAGAGTTCCCTAGGCACTTCTGTGGATGTGGTCTGAAAGTGACACTCACTTTCCCCTTCCCAGGGATCCCTGCACTAGTTAACATTTGCCTTCGAATTTAAAAATTATTCTTTGCAGGTCAGAGGATACACAGGGTGTTAGCACAGCGAAGAAAATAGTGGTATCACAGATGGAGATGGGAAGTTAAGAAGTTGCAGCAACTTTTTGGCTAGAGCTTTCCCTTTCTCACACTGTTCATTTTCCAAACATCAAGAATTAGAAAGCACTGCCTTCCAAATACAAATCATCTAAGATTTACCTTCTACCTCTGTTAGAGGAGGAAATTATTTAAGTTTTATAGGTTTTCTCTACACTGCGATCAACTAGTATATTCATTTATGTGGAAATATCAAAAAAGTAATTACACAAATATCACTAATAGAGAATCGACAGCCTAGAGCTACTTTAAAATGTTTTTTGGTTAAATCCATTTTAGAATATGATATTCATTGCAGTTGTAAATTTATTTTGAAATGTGTTTTTAATATTATCTTTAAAAGTATATACAAAATGTTCAATAACTTTATACATAATGTTTATAAAACACAGAAATTTCTTTGTCCCCTGATTGGTAACCAATACAGTATTGTCCTTTTTTATTATTCACTGTATCGTAGGATTCCAAAGCTGCACTAATGTTGTTAAAGTGTTGTTAGCAGTATTCACCATCCAGGAGTTCATGTTTTACAGAACCACCATTTGGATACAAAATTTTTTGTCCATTTGAAAAGGCCTTATTAGATTTGTATTGTCTTTTTTTGTTTTGCTTTTTGAGAAAATGTAAACATGCCCAGTTTGTCTCATTAAATATTATTCAGTTAAGATTTTATCCTTCAAAACTTTTATCATGTTTGTGACACAGTTATTTCTCTATATTTGCTCTCCATAATTTTTCTAACACTATTTTAGAATTAGCCTAAATTTATAAAATCTTCCTAAGTTGTTGCCATATCTAAGAATGAAGCATGCTCCTGTACAAATTTATATGGCATTTAAAGGGAGTACAGACCCTTTTTAAGCTGTTAGATGCATGGTATGCCTAGGAGCAAAGAAGTTCTTTTATTAAGGGACATAGAAGCCAAAGTGCTTACGAAAACATATTATAAATATTGAAGTCAGAAGGACAAGAAGCAATCCTTCAGTTTAGTGGAATATGTGTGTGCGTGTATATATACACATATGTAGTTTTTCTTGGATTTTTCTTACAGGTATAGACTTCAGACTGTAAAGTCCTTGGCTGGAGTGAGCCTTATGTTACGGTTACTGTGGGCAAGTCTGAGATGGGATGACATGGCAGCCAAGGCTCCTTCCGGGGGAGGGACTACGCGGACAGGTGAGAGTGTCTTTTCTGGTTTAAGGTTAAAAAGAAAAATCACTTGACAATTTGCTTAATTTTAAGCATACCTGTTACTTATTAAAATATAATGCTTTTGTTTTAAAAATAGAGCTTTAGTAAAGTTTGACAGCACGTGCTATACAATCCTTGGGGCGGGGAAGGGTGGTTCAGATTATAAGATGAGTCGCTTATGTGTGAACCAGTCTGAATTTTTAAAAGATGTTTATTTTAGAGTATAAATCATTTAAACTGGGACATCTGGAACTCTGCTACCTCTTGTCTCCTAGGGTTCTTACTGTTTTGGCTGAGTTTCACCACCAGGAATTAAGCTGCCCCCAAACAGCATTTTGCTCAGTTTAGAAATTTTCAGTTAGAAAGAAACTCAGTATTATTGCATTTTAACAGGGATCTCGTGGTCATTAATTAAATGTTTCTGAAAGTTTATTCCACATGTCTCTCTTTTTTAAAGCAGCAGATGTTATACCTTTTTTAGTCTCTGAATATTTTAGGTGGTTATTAATACTTTATGAATTAAATCACCATAGAAACATCTGAAACTGAAATCACAACAACAGAAATAATTAAGAGACGAGATGTTGGTCCTTATGGCATTCGATCTGAATATTGTATCAGAAAAATCATTTGCCCCATTGGAGTTCCAGAAGCACCAAAAGGTAAGGAACAGAAAGAATTCCATTCTTTTATTTTTGACCTGTTAACCACATTTTTTATGAATTGAAGTTTTATTATAATTGTTTCTTTAACTCTTTATTTAATAAATTAAAATATCTTTACTACAAATTACATTTTCAAAGTGATGTTTACCTGGCTCGATTTCCTGGGGGGTGGGCTCAGCCTGCCCTGCCTCCCCTCAGACGAGCCTAAAGTAGAGAGGCCAGGCTTCCTTCCCCATGGGAGAGGTGGTTAAGAAAGGAGCCTCGCCTGGACTGATCTCGCCTCACATTTATTTGGCTACGGTAAGTGGACAGGGGAACTGGTGGAAAGGATGAATAGCTGACTGATGAGGGGGCGGAAATTTAAAAAAATAAATAAATAAAATGGTGTTTAGTAAGCGTAGCAAGATTCTACTAGGCACACATTGACGCCTATAGGCATTGTGCCAAGAATAGGAAGGGTACAAAGAGCTGTAATAATACCTCTTATGATTAAGCTGTGGAGCCGTCATTGACACCAGACCATCAGCTCCAAGAGGGTAGCCGCTGAGTCTGTCTGGTTTGTTGTAGTCCCAGCACCTGCTACAGCAACTGACACCTAAGTGCTTAATGAAGATTTTTTGGCTCAGGGGTTAAAGCTACTGTGAAATACTTTAGTGCTCAGGGTAGAAATACTATAAGAGGCTAAAGTGTTACTCAGGAAACAGTTATACAGCACCCACATGATAGGCACTGGGCAGCAAATATATAGAACAATGAGACCTCGTCCCTGTTGTCAGGGAAACAAAGAAAAGGTTATGGTATTATAACAATATACTGGAGAATCAAAACTGTTAACAGTAAAAAGAGTATAGTAAGTTGTCTGGATTCAAGATGTATAGACAAAAATCAATAATTTTATTGTATATGTGCAATAAAAATATGAAAAAAATTGACTAAGAACTGTTTAAAAGAAAAATGCTGTCCATAGATAGAAACATACTATTTTATAGACGTTAATTGTCCCCAAGTGTATAAGTTCAATTTTTGAATATTGATTAAATTAACTTGAAAGTTCATACCGGAGAATAAATGACTGAAAATGGCCTTTTTGAAAAGAACACAAATAAGGGAGTACCTGCCCTAGTAGATGATGAACTGTGAGCGTAATTAAAACAATGTCGCCCTGGACAAAACTAGGCAGCCCAGTTGATCGGTAGAGGCACAGAAGGAAGAGGGTATTCCCGGCCGGTCTTCAGTCTTGGTCCCACAGACTTCAATGCAACCACTGCTGTCTCCTTGAATCACTTTTCTTTGGCTTGCATCACTTAGTACACCCAGCTCCTACTGCTATTTCAATTTCCTTCTACTGCTTCCCAATTTCCTCAACATATGGGACAGTGCAATGCTTGTCTCTCCCTGCTTTTTATTTTTAAATTTTGATCATTAGGATAGTTTATCTGTTCTTCATAGTTTCTGATCCCTCCGTTGTGTTGTCAACTCTCACATCCCCCTTCTCAGTGCTGTGATGGGGGCCTGCAGATTGCCAGAGTTGTGCATGGCAAGGACACCCAGCCCAACTGTGGGAAGAACGAGCTACGCTTTTTGAAGGAAGTTGTATCCGTGTCAGGGTCTGAAGGATAAATAGGCATTAATCACATGAGGGGTGGAGGCTAGGAATAGTGTTGCAGGCAGAGGGAATGGGCTGTATAAAGGTTCATAGTCCTTTCACACCAGGGGCCAGCAAACCATGGCCCAAGAGCCTTGACCCACCACCTGCTTTTGTGAATAAAGTTTGATTGGAACACAGCCACACTTATGTATTGTCTTTGGCTCCTTTCATGATACAAAGGCAGAGTTGAGAAGTTGTAACAGAGACCATCTGGCCCACATAGTATTTACCATCTGGCTCGTTAAGAAAAAGTTTGCCAATCCCTGCTTTTCATGATATGTAAGAGGAGATGCCAGAAGGGCTATAACTTTAGAAGCTATATTACTTAAAATACTCTGATTTCTTTTTCAAAGAAACACCTACACCTCAGAGGAAAGGCCTTCGATCAAGTGCATTGCGGCCAAAGAGACCAGAAACGCCCAAGCAAACTGGCCCTGTTATTATCGAAACCTGGATAGCAGAGGAAGAGTTGGAATTGTGGGAGATCAGGGCGTTTGCTGAGAGGTAAGGAAATGGTTAGCATGTTCTCAGATATTTGAAAATTTTATTACTTCAGAATTAAAGAATTACTCCTTTAATAGTTTTTTCAGGGTGTCCTAATTTAACTCTTATTTTTTGAATTTAAGTATTAGCTTTATATCATTTATTAAGGTCCTGTTTCTAATTTTATCCATTTGTCAGTTTCTAATTATCCTAATTTAAACGTTTTATTTTTAAATCGAAATGAATTTCATACTTCTGTATGATGTAAAAGTTAACCAGATTTCCCTTAATATTAGATGCCAGATGTCTGATAGGGTGGTTTCTGATGAGCACTTCCTTTTTTTCCTGCAGAGTGGAGAAAGAAAAGGCACAAGCAGTTGAGCAACAGGCTAAGGTTAGTGAACAGAAGAAGGCAGAGGACTTCAAGGCCCAAATGGAGGCTCACCTCAAACAGCAGCGGTTGGCTGCCCAGCAGGTGGGGGAGTTGGTACCGTCCCACCTTGCAACGAATTGACATTTTTTGCCAATTTCATGCACACTAAAAGCACAGTAATTGTATATTCACATGGTTTTATTTGTAAGTGTATCTCACATATACTTTAATTTCATTACTGAAAGTAGCTCCGGGGATACAGCAAGCTGTAATTTTGCAAAAAGTGGACATATTTGGAGAATAGTGTATGAAATGCGATTTCTCTTACTTATTATCTTTATAATTTAATAGCTGTTTCTAACAATAATTTTTTCCTGCAGAATTCTGATTTGAAAATCTCTGATGTCTATGAAAAAGCAAAATGTACTGAAACTATAAGAGTTTGTTGTAATCGATGACCATAAAGCTACTGATGGTTTCTTAGCATTTCTATACTGTAAATAAGGTACCATGTATGCCTGAATATCAGGGACACATATAACAGATGATTACCCCTTTTTTCTATTTAGAAGATACTATAAAAGTTTTTAGCCAATTATGTCTATTTATAATATCATTAACTTTTAAGTTGCACATAATTTTAAAAATTACACATTTTATAAAACTAACTGTTCATTCCAAACTACTTTTTTTCCTCTTACATTTTACGTAACATTTTTTTGAGATTCTTTTGCATCAGCTTACTGTAGGTCATTATCTTCACTTACATCAAAGTTCGCGATAACAGCACTTTTGGATTCTACCTGTTTGTTCATAGAAAAACTGGCTGTTTTTGTTTTTCATTTTATGCATGTGTCTTATCTCTACAGTGTAACCTGATGTTTTACGTTCTAATATTTCTTTCATATGCTTATTTACAAAGATGGTCAACATGTCCCAAATAGCCCCAGGAAATAACTGCTAAAATATGTGTTCAATGTTTTTTTGCCTCCTTTTTATACTGATTCAGTCAGATGACATGTTTAAGTATCCAAAACAAAAGTCCTTTTCCTCTGAGGAATAATAAATTATGTGAAATCCCTCACATTATATCAGGCACAGGGGACGTGCACACATAGAGTGTGATGTCATTGGTGAGAAGTTTCCAGTGGCAGGAGAGAGTTCAGCCCTGGAATTTATCTTCTGCACATCTCAGCTTTCCCACAAGCTAGCTCTGTGGCCTTGGTCCAGTTGCACAGTCTCTCTGAGTCTCATTTTCCTCATGTTTAAACACAATGCCAGTAACTTTTTTGGGTTGGTCGGAGCGTTAAATAAGATAATGAAGGTAAAACATCTGTCACCAGATTTGCAGTCCATGCCACCCATTATTTTTACATATGTAAGCTCATACCATCGTGTTTGTAAGCTGTCAGGAAATGTCAGCAATCTCCGATGAGAGAGAAACAGATTTTCTTTAATAACTGTAGTCTGGAAGATTAGATTATTTTACCACTATATGAAATAATCTAAAGTATTTTTCTGTAAAACTGTTTGAAATGAAAAACATAGTCTAGAAAAATTGTTTTATAATTTTCAGCTTGCTTGATTGCAGGTTTACCAACTTGAATTGTGATATTTAAATATTGACCTGTTCTTTATGATTGGATAGCATTACAGTAAACCGAAAACCTTTTTTCAGTTCTTATCGTTTGCTCTCTACTCTAAGTCCCACCGCTGAGCAGCAAGGTGTTCCTGTTTCCAGTAAGATTACCCACGCTTCATTTGTTTTTAGTCTGAAAGCTTGGCTGTTTCTACCGACTGGGAAAACTTTGTTGGTTTTAAATTTTTGTTACGAAAAACAACTTTTAATAAAATGTGACTTTTAGAGTTTTTTAAACATTTTCATCAAGAAATTAAATTCAAGATATATTTACATGGGCATATTTTCAGAAGTAAAATATTTTGGAAATTTGGTACAGTTTCATAGTTTAGGAGAAATTTAGCTAGACTTCTTGCAGAATGGCATTGTTTTTATTTAGAACTTTTTTGGTTCATGTTTTTTCTTCCTGACATTTCTAGAAACGGTTGGAACAGCAGAAGCCTACAGTAATTTCAGCTTCCACCACTTCCCCAACAAACAGTACAACTAGTACCATCTCTCCAGCACAAAAAGTTATGGTGGCCCCTCTGAGTGGCTCAGTTACAACTGGAACCAAAATGGTACTGACTACTAAAGTTGGATCTCCAGCTACAGTAACATTCCAGCAGAACAAGAACTTCCATCAAACCTTTGCTACCTGGGTTAAGCAAGGCCAGTCCAATTCAGGTACACAACTGTGATTAAATAAAATATCGCTTTCATTTAAGAAAAAGAATTTCAGTCGATTACCTGCTGGGATAAAACATCTCTCTAGAAAATTGTTTTTCTTCTGCAGCTGATTGAGCAAGTAAGCCGTAACAGTTGGTTTGTTACAGACAATATTCATAATATTACATTAGCAAAACTCCTCTCACATTGTTTCACTTTCAACATTTACATCGTTCCCTTTGGAGAGGAATTTTTTTTTTTTAATACAAAATGAACCACATTTCATGCATTGGTGCCCTTCCTAGAAATCACTACGTTGCTGGTTATTTTAAATCTAAAGCTTATTAAATGTCTTATACCCCATTAGCCACCAGCACAGCTGCCACATCTGCTACAACCATTGCCAGCACAGGTCAGACGTTCCAAATTACAGGCAGTCCAGTCACTATGGCAGGAAAAGTAATTACCAAACTGCCACTTCCTGCAAACAGCAAGATTGTCGCTGTAAATGTGCCAGCAACACAAGGAGGTAAGGGAAATGTGAAGAGTTTTAATTCACATTTGCCAGATCATACTGTTGCCATTATTTTCCATTTCCGTTTCACTGATTTCAGTCCTCGGATCTCACATTCTATGTAGCCCACTATAAAACCCTGCCACATGTAGTTTCTCCTCAGAAACCGAGCAGCACCTGACACTGTTTATTAAAGGGGCAGTTGTTAATTACTCCTTTATCTTTTTTTAAGGCGTTGTTCAAGTACAGCAGAAAGTCCTGGGTATCATTCCATCAAGTACAGGTACTAGTCAGCAAACCTTCACTTCATTCCAGCCCAGGACAGCAACAGTCACAATCAGGCCCAATACCTCAGCCTCTGGAGGAACCACAAGCACTTCACAAGTAAGAATTCTTCATAGATTTGTTTTGTTTTGAAATGTTAACCACATCAAGATTTTAGAATGGCCTCTTCCAGGATTAATTCAGCTTCTAATTTTTCTTTGCCTTTTACTTAATCTCTGACAGAATACTGACTTTTTTAAAAATTCTGTTATATTTCTAAACAAAAATGATACATGAACTTTTAATTTTTAACGTAGTTAAAAGCACTTTAGTTAGTAGAGTTCGTGAATCATAAGAATTGCTTTTCAGAATTTTATAAAGAAAACTCTTTTATATAAAATAATGGACAGCACTGGACCATCCAAGGAAACTTCCTGTGCAGTTAAGAAATAGTATGAAAAATACAATCCATAGCATGATAACTAGTTTGTAATTAGCTGCTCTGCACTCAGTAGATACATCATTTCTTTGGCACTAGTATTATGGAAAAGGTTTAAAGTTTTGCAGATTTGAAAATGTTCTGAACCTTACTATAAAACTGAAAATCACATGCTCTCTAGTCTTCCCTTTAAAACTATGAAAGGACATTTGGTTTCTGATCTAACTCTTCTGTTCTTTGGGTTACAGATATGGGTTGTGATCAACTATAGTGATTGCTGCTTTTAGGGTCTTGTTCCTTCCTTGTCATTTGTAGGCTGTTCTTGATATCAGTGACAAGGAATTTCATCTGATCTCATTTGAATTAAATTTTCTCTCCTCAAAATTCCATCTGTATTCTGATGCTTAATGTAATATTCAAGAACCTCTGTTATTTCCATAGACATGTTTATCAATATAGAATGTTTTAAAATCTGTGTTCTGTGTCCATCATGCTTTAGTCTTTTAAAAACATTTTAATTCACTGTCTTTTGTGTCATTTATAGGTAATCACAGGGCCTCAGATCCGCCCTGGTATGACGGTGATTAGAACACCACTCCAACAGTCAACACTAGGAAAGGCAATTATTCGAACACCTGTGATGGTACAGCCAGGTATTCATCCGTTCAGTATTTTCATTTTACATCTAAACAAATAGTCCAAGAAGTCTGTTCTACTCTATGTTTGGCACTTTACATACTAGAAAATACCAATTTGAATTAAGATTTCAAAGCATACGAAATTTCTAATCCATTATGGGATGCATCCACAGATATATTTTTATTCCTGGCATTGCAAAATAGATCCAAGTATGCTTATTAAAAATGTTTTTAAAACCTCTAATAAATGGAATTTATACATTCAAGTCATTGGAGTAAAGAGAATGAGCAAAGAAAACTATGTCAAAAGACGGAGATAAAATCAAGCAGATAGCTAAGAAGAGTTTAAATGGAAAGCAATGCTAGCTCTTCGTTAATGGAAATAGGTTACAATTCTCATATTAAATGTTGAAGACTAAAGGTTAAGTGGAAAAAATTTAACTATACATTTTTGAGAAATATACCTAAAATCAAATTACCACAAAAGGTAAAAAAAGAAAAAGAATACATGAATTAAATGCTAAAAAAAGAAAGAAGGGAGCAGGGGAAGGACAAAGGTAATTCTGATATTGGACAGAATAGTGTTTAAAAAATTCAGTGTTTAAAAAAACCACATTCAGTAGAACAGAGAGGGTCATTTTGTATTAGCTTAAAGATAAAGGTTGCGATGAAGAGGCAATCTTGGATCTCTGAAATAAGATATCATTGAAGTGTATAAAGCAAAAACTATTTGAAATCAAGGAGGGAGTCACAGAGGCAGGGAGTAGTAGACCAGGAACAGACTGTTTTGCATCAACTTCTGGACCTTTAAGAATACACATTGGTTTTAAACATTTATGGGTGATTCGTATGAAATGGTCATATAGTACATCATGGTAAAACCTCGATAAAGTCCAAAAAATAGAATGTATATAGGCCACATTCTATATAGTAAAGCTAGAAATTAATATTAAAGAAGTATTGTGATAACTCTTACTTGGAAATTTAAAAACAGATGTTCTCATAAGTAATTTTTAGGTTAAATAAACATCGAATATGTAATTACAAACAGATTATCAAAGAAATAGCAACTGAGCTATGCTGCCTGACCTGAACTCAGAGGCAAGTTCATTCATTTAACAAATGTTCAGGCACCTACTCTAGGCAGTTGAATTACACTGGTAAACAAAACATAAAAACTCATATTATTAATCAGAAGCTAGAAAAATATATAAAACAAGTCTTAAATGAAAACAGGAAGGAGGAAGTAAAATGAAAAGTACAAGTAATAATAATTAAAAAACAGAAGGAAAATATTGAAATGAATTTTTTTTTTTAATAAGTCGAATCTTGAGAAAAGAGAACAAAATGGTACTTTACAGAATTAGAAATGAGAAAGTGCTATAAAAACAAACTTTTTAAATCAAAAGAGAGTTGTGTTGCAGGTAGCCTTTGAGAATTCTCACTATCCATACTCAGGAACTAAATCTGTTTGAATAATGAGGCACAATTATATACTATGCTTATAAATTTTAAATCTCAATTATCAAGGAAAGAAATTTGGGAATTTCCTGTAATATTACCTACAAAAAATAATTCCAGACTTCATGGTTTTATGGGTAAAATTCTTCAAAATGGTTAGGAAACAATTCCTTCTTATAAAAACTAGTTCTAGAATATAGAAGAAAGAAAAATTTGAATCTTTCCTGCTCATTTTTACAAAATTAGCACAATTCTAATAAATATAGCATTGGGTTTTTTTTTAAAAAAAAAGGCAATCTTCTAATGCCTGAGTAGGATTTATTCCAGAAAAGAAAGAATGATTATTTCAGTTAATGCTACAGGGACAGTTGTTAAAATTCAGTATTTCTTCCTGTTTAAATATAGATGTCAGACAAGTAACTAAAAGAAAAGATAAAGTAATGTAAAGGACAAAAATATTTATAGATGATAAATTATATGTAGAAAATTGAAAAATGTAATTGCAAGATGTATAGAACCTTTGTTCTTGTTGCCGTGTGTAGCTGCAGTTATGTGTTCGACTTGCATACGTGAATCTATAGCTTCACATATGAGTGTGTCTGGTGTGTTAGAGGAAAAGCAAGGTGGCCAGTGGGGCTGGTGGTGCCCAGTACGATGAGAAGAGGTCATAGTGGTTGTGGTGGGAGAGTTAGCGGGTGGATGGATGTGTGCAGTGTGTCTCTGTGTGCACTGATCAACTTCTCCCTGTTCCTAACACTACACTAGCCTTTCCCAAAATGGAATCCACACACTATAATAGTAAAACCATCTTAATTTTTGAATTTGCATTTTGATGATAATCTAAAAATAACATGTATCTATTGGGGATCGTCTGAATGACCATGATATAATCAATTGGTACCAACTCTTTATCCATCTGTCCATGATGACAGTATATTAGTACCAGGCGATCGGCTAAAGTAACTTTTCATGCACTGTTCCTCGAACTGCAGTAAAAGGACATAGTGTTAGGTTTAGAAGTTCTCAAATTAAAGCACTTGACTATACATTCTGTACTGTGTTTTCATTCATCCTGAAGAATAAATAGATGAGAATAACCAAGGAAAGTTTAGGAGAAAGAGTAATGATGGAAAACTTGCCATGCCAGTTCTTAAAGCATGTTTTAAGCCTCCAGAATTAGGAGCATGATACCAAAGGAAATTAGACTAATAGAAACAATTAAGGAGGCATTATATGTGAGAATTTGCTGTATAATAGAAGCTTCATTTTGAATCAGGATGGACTGAGTTTATCAATAAATGATACAGAAATAATCATTTTATAGTTTGGCGGGGGAAATATATCTGCCAACATATACTATGACTTGGAAAGATATATCTGAGTAGGGAATGCAAGAAAACTTTAAAAGCAATAATTAAAGCAAAAAAAAAAAAATCCACATTTAAAAAATCTTTTTAGGGGTGGTTCCGTAGAGTAGTGGTTAGCACGTCTGCTTTGCATGCAGAAAGTCCTGGGTTCAAACCCCAGCAGAGCCACAACCCATATCCCAGGTGCACCAGGCCCCAGGTGTGCTCCGCGAGCACATGGGAGGAGACACCCCACCTTCAGAGATCCAGTTCTTAAGGGGGGACGGCAACATCCATAGGTCAGGGGTGGAAGTAGAGGGCGGGGGGAGGTAAAAAAAAAACTTTTAGAGGTTTACAAATAAAATTAAAAGGCAGACAGCAAAGTAGAAATAATACATTTTTGTAATTTATATCTTTAATCTGTATAAAGCAACTGTAAGAGAATTCAAAAATAAAGTACAACAACTTGACAGTTTTAAATGTAATTTAAGAAATTACATTACAAATAATAATTGAATAAATTCAGGCACCATGATCATAATCTTTCTGATTGCTGGACTATGTTACTTTAGTGCTAACACCTTAGGTTTCATAATTCAGTGAAATGGTAACTCAGTGGTGGTGGGAATAAGAATTGGTATAACCTTTCTAAAATTCAATTTAGTACTGTTTTCTACTATGAGCTCAGTAATTTGGGGGGAGTTTATGCTAAGGAAATAATTAGTAAACAAGGATTTCACCATGGAGTTATTTTTTTAAAAAGCCAAAGGGAATGTATTCTAAATGTTAAAAAAGGTTCAGTTTTATATACATGCAATAGTATTAAATACCAGTCATTAAAAGAAATATACACGGAAATATATATGTAATTCACAGAAGGAAAAAACAGGAAACGAATACAGAACTTCAAAAATGTGATATTATTCACTAATTAATAATGAATTAAGACTTCATAAATGCAAAATTAGCTACCAAATAATTACTCTTAGCAGCCGTTCCACAGGGGGGAAAAAAATCCCACGTGCCTCTTCTTCCAGTTTCAGGAAGTTAAATGAGAAATGAAAATTTTCAGGAGACTGTAGAGCCATTCCAGTTAAGGTCACTCATTCAATAGATGTTTACTGAACAGTCACTATGGAGCATTCTGTTAGCACTTTGCTGGTACAGGCACACCTCAGAAGACTGCAGGTTCGGTTCCAGATCTCCGCAGTGAAGCCAGTATCAAAATAAAGCAAGTGGGATTTTTTCTGGTGAAGGGTCTTGCCTTCAATTTGAAAAAAACGTAGCATGTATGAAGCGTAATAAAGTGAAGCGCAGCAAAACGAGGCTGTGCCTTACTGAGGATTTAATCCTTCCCCTCATGTTTTCCCCAAATTGTCTGGCACGTAACTGTAAGAAAAACTTATTTATAAACATAATTTGCCCCAAATATTCCAGGTTCTCTATATTTTGCTTTAAATGTATATAAATTATATGTTAAATTTTTGTTTTAAATGCTATGTTTTTAAGGAAAGGTAGCCTTATAAATGGCATATTTTACATATCATTTTCTGTCTTCCCTGTTGTCATTTTTGCATTAGACATACAGGAAGAATATTGTTTTTCACTTTCCTACAGTTAGTAGGAAGTGGAGAATGGTGTTAGTGAGCCAATTGCAAACAGGCTCACCGACTACGAGGTGGGTCCTTTGGGTGTAGGTCTGAGTGCATCCTTGGGCTGTCGGC